GTCTGTGTCAACCTCAACAGCTACACTTCTTAGTTGTGCCATATTTTGCACGACTGATCTTGCGCTGAGAGAGACAATACTGAGCGTATTCCTAATATGTAGGTTCCGCCCATTGCTACTTATAAAAAGGAAGAGCTGGTGGTGGAAAATAAAGCTGTTGGGACGAAGCAATTGGTGGAGGACAACGTTGCTGTGGCCTTAAACTTGTGGGGTAATGATCACTAACTAGAGATGCAGCATTATGTGGAAAAACATTTGAGGAGGACCCAGGAAGTGGAAAGCTATTTTGTCGGGTTGAAAAAATAGGAGGCATGAAAATAGGATTGTGTAAATTTTGAACATAATATGAGGGGTAGTTTATGTTAGGTAGCGGACATAATGGTTTCGAGAAACAGTTAACATCAGGAAAGGGTGTTACTATTTGGGGTATCAGACTAGCAATGGGATTGGAAAAGTTATCAGCAATGCTATATACTTGCATTTTGCAGGCTGGTGTGTAAGAGGGCTTCACGATTGGGGTGTTTACGTTAAGTTTAGAATTCTGGATAGGAACAGGTAAAGGTCGCCGTGAACTAGCATCTAGCAGATTTGACCTAACCGCAAGGTCAGACCCGAGTGGTCAGGCGCGGGAATGGGATGGATTCGATCTAGGTTTATTAAATAAATCCCTATGCTGAGTGCTGGGGGTCGGTTGTGCTTCAAGGACTGGCTCATCTTTACCGTTAACATCAACCTCCCTAGTGAATTTGGTAACCTCATTTGAACAATCTTTGCTTCTTGGGGGAGTTTTAAAGAGGCTAGTTTCAACTGACTCTGTGATAATGTGATCAGTCGAAGAGCCAGATAGAACTGGGGCTGCTGTAGATAGTGGGGAGCTTTGGTCGACACGCTTTAGAGAATCTGCTTTAGAGGCAAAACGCAGATGAGTAGAATTACGGGGTTACTTTACGTTCTTTAATGGGGGAGAAACTCTTCTTTGCAGTGGAGTTTGATCTCGACCAATAAAAAGTTTATTTCCCCTGAGATATTGAGCTGAACGCTCCAAATTGGAGAAAATAAAGTCCACTTCTATCGACGAAAAGAGTTTGACAAGAATTGGTGGACTTTTGCTCCTAGATGAAAGTCTTTTAGCTTCAGCGACCCTAAACTTGAAGCCGCATGAACAAAGGAAGTGAAAAGCGACATCGATTGGCTGTCTACTCCTAGGAACGATTTTTAAAATAAAGTTGAAACTTCGTTTGTGTCTGTCTTCGATCTCACTAGCAACCAGGTCAATGAGAGGCATGAGCTTCTCACACTGCTGAGACGTAAGTGTTATCAACTTTCCTTCAAGAAGGGCATCAAGAACAGAAAAAATTGATCCGTAAGGAGACATAAAATTGCTAAAATTATCGAGCGTCCCTAAATCTATTTTTTTCATATCTACAATGGGTTTCAAACGGAGTTTAGTTTCCTTCAGATTTTGACGAAGGATTGCCTGAGGTTCCATGTCGAGAAAAGCAAAACAAGACTCTAGTCCGAAAATTTATAGGGATGCTAACTGCCGAAACTTCGAGGATATATCGATGAGGCTATGTATGATGAAACGATTTCTGAAAGTCAGCAATTTTGGTGGACCAGACAGCACAATTGATACTAAGAAAATTTTACTCAATAACAGAATGCAAACTTGAAAAAAACGGGTAAATGACAATTTCGTAGGTGACAAAACAGAACTCTGAATAAATTTGAATTGTATAATGAGGTTATGTAGGATAAAATAGAGAACCGTATAGTTCACTTACTAATGAATAAACTGACAATAAAAGCGGTCGTTGGAGACGGTTTATCGTTTAAAATACAATTTTTTTCAACATTTTACGAGGAAAACCTTTTGCATATAGGGGCAAAACTTAATAGATTTGAGGCTAAGTTGGGTGAAAAACTATGACACTATATCTCTGCTTTATGATAAATCGACGGGAAGCGAAGATGACTTATGACAAAAAATAGGAAATTTTGTCGAATATACATTGGAAAACTTTGCAGGAGATTAAGACACTGAATCCAACAATATAACTTCCACTAATCTTTTCAAAATCATGCTGTGCGCGTTGACTTTGACCGACTAGGTTAAAGGCGAGTGTACGCGTCTAGACCAATAAAAGTTTTCATTCCCCCTGCGTGTAGTTCGAACATAGGACTCACTCCCAGGTGAAATAATGGCATTTGACATCGTGGTTGCATTCAAAACGCTGTTGGACTGTTTGATTTTCGACAAACAGCGCCTCTCACTGTAGGATTATCTACGGCTAGTCATGAACTTTATTTCTTGATTTAATTTCCTATGTAAAGCATCCCTGCACGTTTGGTGTGAATTTTCCCCGCAACTTATACAATTGGCTATATTTTGTGCTGACTATATATATATTTGCATTTAAAATCTCCACCGTACAAAGAAATGACCATCTGCGGCTCGGCCTACAATCTTAAAAAAACTGCGTGCACTCGGATCGAAGTCTCGTCCCGTCGAAATGTTTTCTGCGAAACATAGTTGCTACCAACAACATGTTTATTTGTACAGAAATGTTGCGTGCCTTGATTTCAGTATACTCATGAAGACAATTGCTTATGACCCTAAACAAATATACCATGAGTGATTACGCCGCCCTGCATCATTTCATTAGTCCCTATGAGGGCTTCGGAGATCGTCCCGTTGTTCGAATCGAGCGCCATCATCCTGACGTTGAGCTGGTGTACCATGCGCGTGAATCGCTCAGGACAGTCGAATTTTTGCATCCTTCTCCCCAGACCCTTGCGATTCACCCATTCGTAGGCTCTCGTCAAGTCCAAAAAATAGTGTAGAAGTGGGTTGGCATTTTCTGGCACTTCTCCTGTAGCTGGCGGGCCACGAAGACTATGTCGGTGGTCGCGAGGTGTCATCAGAAGCCACATTAACCTTCCGACAATTGTCCTCGCTCGATGTGTCTGTTGAGACGATCAAGGAGAATACGAGTGAATTTCTTCTTAGCAATGCTAAATAGCGAGATGTCTCTGCAGTTATCAGAGATTTGTCGGTTGCACTTGCGCTTGTAAAGATTGACAATGGTCGTGTACTTAAAGTCCTGAGGGATCTTTCCTTGTCGCCACATCTCTCGGAACAGAGCGATGAGGCTCTCCACTAATCTGTGGCCGCCGTGCATCTATATTTCAGCCTCCGTGACTTCTCCTTCAAGAGCTCTGATCCGCCAGAGCTGAGACGCTATGTGCATCCTTCCGTTGGAGGAGACGTAGATCGAGTTGATAGCAGCGAAGAAATTCTTTATTGTATTACGGTCGGCACATCCCTGGGTCTCCTCAGTCTTGCGGACCATCCAGCCGTCTTGCATTTCTCTCAACCGCTGTTTAGCAGGACGGCGACATTGCAAGAAGGCCACTTTCCTTACATTAGTTGGACGGTAGACGTAGGCTCTACGCAGTCTGTCCTTTTCATCGGGCAGATTGCAGGTTTCGGCGGCGTTGTTGCCTAACGAGTCCTGACGTTAGCGACGTGCAAGATCGACGACGTCCAATACAGTCTAAGAGGCGGAATTCCCCAACCGACACCATCCAGTATCCACGATGTCGTTGTTTTCCCGGGCTGGCAGGTCTTCCAGGCGCTGAGATAACTGGTTTCTGAGGTGTAAACAGTGGGCGGGCAAATTTATCAGGACACAATCGAACTTTCCTGCTGGTCGCTTACCTTGTGACCTCCTGTGGGGTTACAGAAGGAGCCTCATCTTGGAGATGACGGAGCAGTGGTTTGTCCTGCCACCGAAGTCGCAGATGGCCTTTATTCGCCAGCACGTCCTGTTGTGCTCGTCTCCGGACGAGGAGATAGCCCGGCGGCTGCCAACCCCGCGATAGGCGGTGCATCCAGATCGCCGTCTTCCGCATGACAATGCGGAAGAAGGTGTTGGTTAGCAGGAGGCAGTGTTCTACACAGCTTTAAAAAAATGAGGAGGTCATCGTCATTGCAGCCGCCGATTCATTGAATGTCCAGCAATTCTCACGGACAGCATGGCCTGTGCCGACGCGGACGTTGAAGTCGCCAAGGACAATCAGCTTGCCCGCCTTTGGCATAGTCGTTAGGAGGACGTACATGTTCTCGTAGAATTTATTCATCGTCTCGTTATAGTCGGTCGCTGGTGGGGCGTAGGCGCTGATGATGGTGGCAAAGTTACCTCCCCGAAAAGGCAGATGCAGGCTTATCAGGCGGCTACTGATACCCTGCAGCATACAGTGCAGTAGTCCAACGATATCTTTCAGGCTGGCAAAGGCGGTGCCCGCGAAACCTCGCTCTGCCTTTGGGCGGCAACTTCAGAAGAAGTTATAGTCGGCGCCAACCTTCTCCAGCTGACTCTTTTAAGAAAACCGAGTCTCACTGAGTTTGTAGCAGCCGCTCCAGGCCACCCCCCCCCTTTTCTCCGGCTCTGTTTTGTCGGTCGATGGCCGTGACAAGCACTGACAGGCCGCTGACACACGACCACCCACACCGACTAGAACTGGGACCCCTCCTTGTCCAGCTGCAGTGACTCCCGGCTGCCCTCACAAACTAGTATCACCTAACGCGCGTCGAACGCTCTGGCTTGATTCCCGTGAGGCCTTGTGAGTATGCGCCCTCCATTCGTCCCCTAATTAGTCCAATCACACGACCACCACGCAGACAGTCACCCCCTCCTGCTAACTTAGACACACACACTCGCGTTAACAAGACACAACGTGACTGACGCTATCCGTGAACGGACGCTTTTCTCTGTTGCAAGCAAACCGCCAACTTACGGCAACCTGCCCTGTGTACAGAATAAACTAGTCCTCACAGCTCCCTGACTTCTGGCAGTAGACGAAACGAACTTATTGTGCGTGGTTTAAGTCGATCTTACATCCTTGACCGCCACAAATTGGTGACCCCTAATTTCCGAACACTGGAATTCCGCAAACCTTTCGTCCACAACAACAATCTTCCGGCGACCTACAGCGCGATGTCCCAAGACCAGAAGTCACTCATTAACCCAAATTCTCAAGGAGCTAGCGTACGCTTGGATCGGCTCGAGGAGGTATTAATGCGCCTGAAAGCCCAGCTCACTGCAGTTACCACTAACGGCCCGCGGCGAACACCAAACCGTCGCCATACTTCCTCCGTTTCCCACCCCCGCGCTGATGCCCAACTAACTCTCATGACAGATGCTTCCAGCACTGCCGTTGGTGCGTCACTGCAGCAAACTGTTGGTGGTGTTCTACAACCTCTGGCTTTCTTCTCGAAGAAGCTCAGCCCAACAGAGACCCGCTACAGTGTCTTCGGCCTAGAACTGCTCGCCGTCTACCTATCCATTCGGCACTTTCGCCATTTCCTCGAGGGTCGTGAATTTGTTGTTCTAACAGATCACAAGCCACTCGTTTTTGCACTGAGGGCCTCTCCCGATCGATACTCGCCCCGTGAAATCCGTCATCTTAACTTCATCTCACAGTTTTCCTGCGACATCCAACACGTCCATGGTAAGGAAAATGTGGTTGCTGATGCTCTATCAAGAATCGAGATGGCTTCCATCACAACTGACGCCATAGACTTCACACTCATGGCTGAGGCTCAGCGATCGGATGACGAGCTCTCCCAATACCGCCACGAGAACTCTTCTTTACGCCTTCAAGATGTCCCCCTTCCCACTGGCACAGGCACCATCACGTGTGACCTTTCTACCGGACACGAACGTCCTTTTGTTCCAGCAACTTTACAACGACGAGTGTTCAACGCTCTTCACAATCTATCCCACCCTGGAGTTCGGGCGACAGTGAAACTCATCACTGACCGATTCGTCTGGCCCAAAATCAACCGGGATGTACGGCGTTGGACCCGATCCTGTCTACCATGTCAACGAGCCAAAACGCATCGGCATACCATTACTCCGCCAGGTACTTTCGCCACTCCTGATGCACGCTTCAGTCATGTGCACATTGACCTGGTAGGTCCGCTGCCACCATCTAACGGTTCTACCTACATGCTGACATGCATTGATCGCTTTACTCGGTGGCCGGTTGCTGCGCCCATTCCGGACATCAGTGCTGAAACCGTTGCGAAAGCTTTCTTGACTCATTGGGTGTCCAATTTTGGAGTTCCTGCGACTGTCACCACTGACCGCGGATCCCAATTCGAGTCCACGCTGTTTTGCGAACTCACTTCCCTTCTCGGTACCAACCGAATCCGAACAACAGCGTACCACTCTCAAGCAAACGGTCTCGTCGAACGTTTCCATCGACAGTTCAAGACTTCCCTTATGGCCCAGCCTGATCCTTCCCGATGGTCTGATCACCTTCCCCTGGTGCTGTTGTCCCTCCGTTCCACTCTCAAGGCCGACATCGGTTGCACTGCAACTGATCTTGTCTACGGAACCTCCCTACGACTGCCCGGTGAGTTAGTATCTCCCTCAAACATGCTAACGTTTTTCGAACCTTCCAGTTATGTGGAGCAGTGCGTAGTGTCATGCGCAAACTCCGCGCAACGCCCCCTCGGGCGTCACAGGCCAATTCCTTCATCCCTTCCGACCTGGATAAGTGCGATTTCGTCTTGGTTCGGCATGACGCTGTCCGACGACCACTCCAACCACCCTATGACGGGCCGTATAAAGTCCTTCGTCGATCTGACAAAGATGTTGTCATCGCCCGCAACGGCAAGACCGACGCAGTCAGCATTGATCGCGTCAAGCCGGCCTACATCGACGACAGTGACCATCCCTCACTCCAACACTGTACTCCGCCTCAGACAGTGCGGCCTCCTCACCCTACTGGCGACAGTCCCCCTCCGGTTCGCCACACACGATCTGGTCGTCACGTCCACTGGCCCGACAGGTTTGTTGCTGGCTAGCATGTCGACGCCTTCACTTCGTTTGGTGTCTGGGGGGGAGTTGTAGCAGCCGCTCCAGGCCCCCCCCCTTTTCTCCGGCTCTGTTTTGTCGGTCGATGGCCGTGACAAGCACTGACAGGCCGCTGACACACGACCACCCACACCGACTAGAACTGGGACCCCTCCTTGTCCAGCTGCAGTGACTCCCGGCTGCCCTCACAAACTAGTATCACCTAACGCGCGTCGAACGCTCTGGCTTGATTCCCGTGAGGCCTTGTGAGTATGCGCCCTCCATTCGTCCCCTAATTAGTCCAATCACACGACCACCACGCAGACAGTCACCCCCTCCTGCTAACTTAGACACACACATTCGCGTTAACAAGACACAACGTGACTGACGCTATCCGTGAACGGACGCTTTTCTCTGTTGCAAGCAAACCGCCAACTTACGGCAACCTGCCCTGTGTACAGAATAAACTAGTCCTCACAGCTCCCTGACTTCTGGCAGTAGACGAAACGAACTTATTGTGCGTGGTTTAAGTCGATCTTACATCCTTGACCGCCACAAGTTCAACGATATCCGCTTTGCAGCGCGCCAGTTGCACAACCACTAGCACCGTCCTCCGTTCCGGTCGGTTGGTCTTTGGATTTTCTAGAAAATAATGAACATTCCAGGCTACCAAAGTGAACGAACTCACTCTTATACGAATGAGAGCTAAATTTACAGTTCCAGGTGTGTGCATAAGTGAAGAAGGAGTGTCCAGCACCGGAACACTTTGTTAATTCAATCGGACGAAGTCATGGTCTCCTTCGATATGATGTCTTTATTCACATCCATCCTACCAAACTTGGCCTGCTAAGTCTTGCGCAAGAGACTTGAAGAGGCATGCGATGAGACTCAGAATGTACTTAAAATTGAACACCTCATGAGGCTGTTTGAATTCTGCCAACAAACTTTGTTCACTTTTTCGGGAGGGATTTATAAACAAATCAAGGTAATCTCAATGGGCTCACCGGTCTCCGGTTTAGTGTCAGAACTGGTCCTACAGGAGTTAGAAAAAATTGCCTCCATCCAACATGAACCGGTGTTTTGGCGCCGTTACGTAGACGACACGTTCGTCATCGTAAAGAAGGACATGCCGCAACATTTCCACAGCCCGCTCAACGCAGTCCTCCCTGATATAAAATTCACGAGGGAAGAAGAACAGGAGCAGCAGTTGCCCTTCCTGGATGTGCTTGTCAATCCAAAGCCTCACATTCCGCGGCCAGAAGGATGATAGTTTAACAGAGACATGCGAGATGGAGGGAGGGGACACGGATGTGGCGGGTGCGCCTGTCATGGTGAACAAAGGGACGGATGACCGAAGGAAGGTCTGACAAATTCCTGTGCGTGGGAAGTCGGGGCAACCAATTTGTAGTGATCAAGGACGTGAGATCAACTTAAACCACATACAATAATTTTGCTCCGTCTAGTGACAGAAACCAGTAAGTTGTGAGAAAGGGTTTATTCTGTACACAGGGCAGGTCGCCGTAAGTTGGCTGTATGCTTGTGGCACAGACAAGCGTTCGTTCTGGAGCGCGTCATTTGCGGCGCCTTCAGTGTGTCGCTACCACCAAAAAAGTGTTGTGTCCTTCTTGCCTCTGTCCTGTCTGTTCAAAATCACGTCCGCTAGGGCGGCGTCCCGTGTGTGCGCTTGTAACCAATCAGCGATGGGAGTTGCGTTGATTGGCTCCGAGCCTACGCGAAGGTAGTGGCAAATTATCGACCAGGAGTGTGGCGTGGACGGGAGTGCAAATCGAGGATTAGCGAGCGCAGCCGTGGTGCGTATACAGCAGAACGAGGGGACAGAGAAAAGGCTGCTACAGTTCCCCGCTTGTTTCAAATTCGGTAATAAGATGAGTGCATTATTTAAAATGATTCTTTTAAGAGGCACAAAGTCTTAAGCCTTTGTATTTGATTAAAGTTCCTTAAATATAGGCCTATTCTAGAATTATATACTGTCATATCCTACTTCAGTTTTGCTAGTGTGCGCCTGTAGACTATTAGTCGCAGTCCGCAATTATCATTTTGTGCGCTCGAAATGTCTCCAATGGTGTACACTTTTACACTTTTGACCTGCCGCTGCAATCCAACAATCAGGCCTATCAGAAGTTTTACTTAACTGAAACTTACCTCGAGATGAGATGACAACAAAAGACACCGATCGGCGAACGGTATCAGCCTCTGAACCTAGGCGTGGCTCAGTCAAATAAAGGTTAGAAAACATTAATAGTCATTTGTCAACCGTTTTTACCAACAGACAGCTCGATCTGCCTGCGCTTGACAATTGCAACGACCCTATGGTGAAGTCTGGCACTACGTTCTCGATTCTGGGAAAATTGTTCGACAGGAAGATGTCCGATGTTCCCTCTCAAAAATGTTAACGTCTTGACTCGCTCGTTCATTTATTTGTCAGTGAATCATGCGATAGAAAAAAAAGAGCTCATAAGTTTCTGTTGAAAAATGTTCCTCGATCAGCATAGCCAGTCGATGTTGCGGCCGATTTCCTGTGCTTGCGAAGATCCCACTTTAAAATAACGGATATCAAACGCCTGTCATTCCGTAGCAAAAGTCTGTCCATTTTAGTTAAGTTGTTTTCACGAATCCAGGTTGGTGCAATCTTCGCCCATCGAGATATAGTTTTTGTTTGCCCAGAAAACGCGAAATTTTTCCTTTGTCATAATTTTACTCCAAAGGGGCGAAGAATTGAGTCCCTTTTCTCAAATAAATCCTCGACTTCTCAGTTAAATGCTCACCAACTCGAGTATAATATAAGTAACCGTGTGAATTCAGTTCGTTCTACTCCTGCGGACTCCGACCCCTTCTCACTCAAGCCACTGGACGCCGTCGTCTGTCTCCAAATCTGTAGCAGCCACAGTTGTCGTTTCTAACTCGCCTGGTAGCCCTCTTAGAAGGCCAGAAAATCTGTCTACGTCAGCTAGACCGATAGCTTCCCACACATCAACATGTCCTCCGAGTTTAGTTTAGTTCAGTTTATTTGAGGGAAACATAGGTGTCGAAAATTTGAACTCCCTGTTTGTGTCAAGGAAGCGAATTATATCGAAAATTTAAAAATGGAAACATCCAACAGCTGCTGAAGATTTTCGAAACCAGTCCGACAAACGAATTGTTCCAAGTGTTAAAAACCTTTACATTACTAAATACCATTTGCTAACATATCGTTCCAGTCGACCATGGGTGCGTGGAAGTCTCCGGTTATCAGTATCTCTTGGTTTTGTGACACCTCTTTAATTAACCCAAGCATCGCCTCGTCAACCTCAGCAGATTGACAGGCCGCCCAATCAATCTGCTGGGGTTGACGAGGCGATGTTTGGATTAATTAAAGAGGTGTCACAAAACCAAGATGTACTGATAACCGGAAACTTCAACGCACCCATGGTCGACTGTAACGATTTGTTAGTAAATGGTTCGCGAAATTCCTTTAATTCCAGGCTCTTGAAGCTAAGGACTAATCTCTTTCTGGTACAAAACGTCACGTTACCAACCAGGATCAGAGAGGACCAAAGAGCTAATTGTCTGGACCTCGTCCTTAAAAAAACCAATTAGCCCTGGCGAACTTAGGTCCATAACACCGTTCGGCAAGAGTGACCATGTCCTGCAGTTTTGGGAATACCGACTATGTAGCCAACAAGTGAATACGTCTAAGCGTCGACTGAATTTCTGGTGAGGAGATTGTGCTGCCATGACAAGGGAATTATCGACAGTGGACTGGAATGATATTCTTTCCGGACATTCAGACGTTGATTGGAACACTCTCAAAGGAGTTGTAACAGATATCATGCATCGAAACTGTCCGCCAAAGAGAGTCAAAAAGAATAATCGTCCTGCCTGCATAACGCGGGATATAAAGAAAGAAGTAAACCGGAAGAACAAACTATGGCGAAGGTATGCAACAACAAAACAACCATCCCATTACGAGCAATTTCGTCGAAAGCGAGATGAAGTAAGGTCGGCTATCCGTAGGGTGCGGAAGGAGTATGAAATGCGAGTTACGGAACGGGTCGTTGATAAGCCAAAAGTGCTCTTCAGTTACATCAACAGTAGGTTAAAGGACAAGGAGACGGTCTTCGTATTGAAAGGAGAAAACAATGAGGATATCATCGAAAATGACGCTAAGGCAAAACATCTAAGCCGGTTTTTCGTATCGGTTTTCACCGATGAAACGAACTTTGACGAGGCTGGATTGCCTGCTGGGACAACCGACGAAATAATAGAAAACATCGACTTCACGGAAGGAGATGTGAGGAAGGAACTTCTAGCGCTTAAGGAGGGTAAGTCTCCGGGTCCAGACCAAATTCCGGTAAAAGTTCTGAAGGAGTTGGCTAGCGAACTCGCCAAACCGCTTTGGCACATCTTTAGGTCGTCCTTTGACCGAGGCATTCTCCCCTCTGATTGGAAAGTGGCGAACATATACCCCATTTACAAGGGTGGATCTAGAACAAGTACAAATAATTATAGGCCGGTGAGCCTAACGTGCATTTGTTGCAAAGTCATGGAGAGAATAGTCAAAGCATCCATCATTAAGTTCCTTGAAGAAAATAATTTCATTGCCAGTGCTCAACATGGCTTTCGACGAAATCACTCCTGCCTAACTAATATGCTCTATTCAACGGAACAGTGGTCTCGCTCGTTAGACGAAGGAACATAAGTCGATATCGTTTACATCGATTTCAAGAGAGCCTTTGATAGTGTTCCACATCACCGGTTACTTTACAAGGTCCGAGAGTCAGGGATAAGGGGAAACCTATTAAACTGGGTAAAGGATTTTCTGACTGGTCGATCACAGTCTGTGTGTATTGGTAGTGCGAAGTCAACGCCAGTGCCAGTTGAGAGTGGAGTTCCCCAGGGCTCTGTACTCGGACCAGTACTATTTTTGATTTATGTAAACGAATGTATGAATGGATTGGACTGCAGTGGAGTCATGTTTGTCGATGGCATCAAGTTATGGCGAGTGATCAAT